GTTCTTGAGAATTTACATGGTAACTCAAAATTTTATTGACTTGGTTGATAAAAATTATTCAATTGTTGCTGATTTTTTAAAAATTAAAGTTAAAATTAATAGTAGGTAAATTAAAAATGTCAGTTACCTAACAAGACAATGTATCAGCTCTAGTCACACGATAGTAAATTCTCAAGAACATAATTTCATACGCGATCAATGACAAGCAAATTTGTTTTGTTTACGATGGCAGCTTTCACGAAATTGCTTTGTTCGACATACCAGCAACGATCGACTACATATTAAAGGAAACGCAGCAGCCCTCATATTATAGACACGATTATCCACACTATTTATCCTATCGTACAAAAATTAACGTTAAAATTAGTAATTTTTGTGCAGTTGAATTTATTGAGAAAGTAATTTTGCATTTTTTTTTAAATGGACCTGCGTAATATCACTGTTTTCGAAAACGTCATTCTGTGATTTTGCTCTTATGAAATTTTAGTCCATTCCTATTGTTCATTGGAAAACTGCAAATTGCTAAATTACATGTTGAAAAATGTAAATACACTTCGGAAAGTGTAATCTCGCTAAATTGCTTTTTGGAAAAGTGTATACGTACAACGAAAATTACACGTTATAACGTCTAAAATTTTCACACTTCAGTGCCCATAGTCACGCAAGTCAGCTGCTTGCATCGAATGAGACAACCACTTGTCATGAGTATACACTGATAGGAATTTTTGTGCAATGTTCTGTTTATAGTTTGAAGCTAAGTAAAAATCAATGTATACCAACAACATTTAGTAAGTATACTCTTATAGCTTCAAGATCAGTGCTTTCTCACTTCTTCCGTTTTTTAAATGAATGTTTTAAAACTTTGAAATGACTGTTTTAGCGTATATGTTAGCCGATGCTGGTTACGATGTTTGGCTCGGCAATGCACGTGGAAACACATACTCCCGCTCGCACGTCAAGCTGTCACCGGACGATGACGCGGAATTCTGGCAGTTCAGGTGATTAATTTTTGATGAAAAAAAAAAAAACACACACACACATTATTTTGAATTTTATTCAATAAGTTGAAAACGTAATTAATTATTTGAAAATTTCCTTTTTTTTTAATATTCACACTTAAAGGGTTTTACCCACCAACCTCTGAAATTAAATTTTGAGTATCAAATGATAAAAGCCCTTTCAACCAACCAGGTGACTAGGAAACTTGAGTGATTTTTAAAAATAACTTTCTAAAATTGCAATTTTAAACAATATTCACTTGATAAACTGCGTTATTAACTCCAAATATCGGTAGATCGTAAATTTGAAATATCCCACGGCTTGTATTTAAGTGATGGATTATTTAACTGTTGTTGATTTTTTGCAGTCAAACGAAACGGTCAAGTATTTTATTTTTTTCCAAATAGTTTTCACGAAGTCGGTTTGTTCGACATACCAGCAACGATCGACTACATATTAAAGGAAACGCAGCAGCCCTCGTTGATTTACGTGGGCCACTCAATGGGTGGAACCATAAGTAACGTTTTGCTGTCCACCAAACCCGAGTACAACGAAAAAATCAAACTAGTGATTAATTTGGCGACGACTGTTACATGGCTCTCACCTCATCAACCCACCGTAGAACTAATTCTGCACCACGCCGACTCTATAAAGGTAATTATTTGCGTGAAATATTTGTAAATTATTACTTAATCTCAGTTTTGATAAATAATGTTATTAAATATTTTATTACATTCTGGTTAGAGGTGGGTAACAAGTAGAACGTGATTATTTCATGCGTAAATTGCAAGAAAAAGTGAGAAATAAGTCATAACGTGTATCACAGAAAATCACGGCAGTGCCAAATACAAAAACACTTTTTTAAAAATTAAAGTTACTAGTATTTACTAACGTGTAAAAAATTTCATATTTTAGTAAATTGTACTTGAAACAGCTGCATGGTGTAATGGTAGGCTGATTAGGTTTAACTAAGTTCATTTATTTCCTCAAAATTACGCTTTTTCTGTTTTTAATTTTACTGAATACTAGTTTTTTCTTTANAAGAGGTGCTTTGAAGATTACATTCTTAGTACTAACTCTATGTTCGGGTGACGTACTATGTCAGCTATTTCAGTTATTTGGTGCCAATCCAAGCCGATTTGCGAGTGAAAGGTATATGCGAAGTAGATTTCATATGGCTGCAAGAAAACTTGGTTTGAACTCATCAGTTTCTGAAAACTCAGATGCTCTCGACTTCGTGAGTAAATTCTGAAAATTATTTGATGGGAATCATTTTATTGTTTTTGTGATTTAAGGTGTTTTTCACGTTTTTTAACCACCGATCAATATTTTTTTTTTCCCTTGTTAAAAGAAAAAAATTTATAAAAAGATGCAAATAGTTTTTCTTAAGTAGTAAGTTTTTGCTAGTACTACGGACTTTAAGATAATTTTCATAGTAACATTTTCACTAATCACAAGCACATGTTTTAGCTATTAAATAATTTAAAAATAGCCAAAGAGTTATTAAAATAAAAAAGTGCTATTGTAGAATTAAAAATTGGAAAAATTGTTTGTCTGCCTTATGAATATTCCCAGTTAAAAAAATGTATGAAAAATTTTGTTAATGACAAAAAATTTTTTACGACTGTCAAAAAAAGGTAGCAATGGTAGACGAACACGATTACCCCGTAGAAGAGCACTTAGTGACCACAGAGGATGGCTATGAATTACACGTACACCGAATTCCTGGCAGTCCGGATAAACCAAAGGCACCAGGAAAACCAGTCGTTTATTTTCAGCATGGATTATTCTCATCTTCAGATCAATGGATTCTCATGGGCCCGGAGTCTGATTTCTGTGAGATTTAAATATCATTGTTTTGATCGATTAAATAGTATATGCTATTTCAACGAAATTTTTTAACTATTGGATGGTTTTTTTTTGTTATTGACCTCCCAGAGCGGTACTGATAAATGTAACAAATTTAAAAGTATAGTTTTACTCTATAAACTCCAAATGTAATATCAATTTGAATGCGAATGAAATGATTGTTGGTTTGGACCTTGAATTATTTTTTAATACTAGATCAATTGTCAAGATATCGGAAATTATTACAAAAAAAATCTTGACAAACCTGAGGATTATTTATCATCGAAAATATACACTATGAGGACATGTAATTCACGATTTACGAAGCATAAATCCACCAGTGGGAGCCGATTATGGACAACAGAAAACATCTCTTACATTTAGCAGTTAGTAAATGCATGTCTACATAGTGTACAACAAGAATGCATGTTGGATCTTTTTTTTTTTTTTATACTGCAAGCGTGAACTGAAATAAAAATACGCTAATATCGTATGTACAAATACAAAGTTTACCATACCATGTACATTCACTTAAATATTGGGTGGTATTCAATAGTGGGTATCAGTCATAAGTCACTCCCCGAGAGTATGAGATGAAAAAAGTATTATATTTTAGACCATAAATATTGTAACAATGATGATTTTAGCGTACATGTTAGCCGACGCCGGCTATGATGTTTGGCTGGGCAATATACGTGGAAACACATACTCCCGCTCGCACGTCAAGCTGTCACCGGACTATGACGGAGAATTCTGGAACTTCAGGTAATTAATTTTTTCATCAGAAAAATTTTTGATTTTTATGATATATATCTTTTAATGGTATACAGATCAAGAGTAGAATGTTTATAGTGTATAACAATTTTAGCTTACATGTTAGCCGATGCTGGTTACGATGTTTGGCTCGGCAATGCACGTGGAAACACATACTCCCGCTCGCACGTCAAGCTGTCACCGGACTATGACGGAGAATTCTGGCGCTTCAGGTTATTAATTTTTCATGGACACAAATACATTTTATGAATATGATTGAATTTCAATTTTAAATTTTATTCTAGCAGCCCCTTAAACCTTAAACACTTTGTTTCAAATGTAAAAAAAAGAAATTCTTTTTTTAAAACCACAACTAATAATTTGTGCACACTTAATATACGACATGATTAATTAAAATTATGTATGCACACTATGAAAGACAAGTGACACTATACTTACGTAACTACAACTTTAACTTGACTTGGTTTTTACATGGTAACTCAAAATTTTATTGACTTGGTTGATAAAAATTATTCAATTGTTGCTGATTTTTTAAAAATTAAAGTTAAAATTAATAGTAGGTAAATTAAAAATGTCAGTTACCTAACAAGACAATGTATCAGCTCTAGTCACACGATAGTAAATTCTCAAGAACATAATTTCATACGCGATCAATGACAAGCAAATTTGTTTTGTTTACGATGGCAGCTTTCACGAAATTGCTTTGTTCGACATACCAGCAACGATCGACTACATATTAAAGGAAACGCAGCAGCCCTCGTTGATTTACGTGGGCCACTCAATGGGTGGAACCATAAGTAACGTTTTGCTGTCCACCAAACCCGAGTACAACGAAAAAATCAAACTAGTGATTAATTTGGCGACGACTGTTACATGGCTCTCACCTCATCAACCCACCGTAGAACTAATTCTGCACCACGCCGACTCTATAAAGGTAATTATTTGCGTGAAATATTTGTAAATTATTACTTAATCTCAGTTTTGATAAATAATGTTATTAAATATTTTATTACATTCTGGTTAGAGGTGGGTAACAAGTAGAACGTGATTATTTCATGCGTAAATTGCAAGAAAAAGTGAGAAATAAGTCATAACGTGTATCACAGAAAATCACGGCAGTGCCAAATACAAAAACACTTTTTTAAAAATTAAAGTTACTAGTATTTACTAACGTGTAAAAAATTTCATATTTTAGTAAATTGTACTTGAAACAGCTGCATGGTGTAATGGTAGGCTGATTAGGTTTAACTAAGTTCATTTATTTCCTCAAAATTACGCTTTTTCTGTTTTTAATTTTACTGAATACTAGTTTTTTCTTTACATGCAAAAGCTTGTTTTTTTTAGTCTAATATGATGACAATATTGTTACTCAGATCCATCCGACGATTAAGATAAAAACAGAATATTAAGAATTTAGAATAAACATCCTTTATATGTTTGTGGTACAAGGTGTCTGTACAAATAGTTTAAATTGTTTTACAGGTATTCAACAAATGCATTTTGGTCGTAATTTATAAGCATGGCATAGTGTTTTTTTCATCAATTTATCTGCTTGTTTTATTATGCGTTATTAATAAACGATAGTTTGATTCATTAAGCTTACAGAACTCGGAGTGATTATTCAGATTGATTTTTTTACAGGGTGCCTTGAACAATATGAAAATTTACGAATTACTTTCATTAAGCGCAGCGACACCGAGGATGATAACCACCTTATGCGGAGAAAAAAGCATGTTCCGCCAACTTTGCGCGATATTTCAAATGGAGTCCATTCAATCGGATGTTGTAAGAAAAATGAGCTGTATTCATTACAAATCAGAATATTTATTTTATACTCAATCACCATTAACTCGAATAATATATGAATCTATTCATAGAACATGTGGCACAACTGGATTTCCTCTTTTCCCGCGGGAACGTCGGCTCAATCGGTCTTACACTACCTTCAGAATATAGAGTCAGGTAAGATAAAAAAATCTTGTAGCAGTGATTACATCCAACATTTCTACAATATACTGAATTGGATATAATTGTTATTTAATATTCCTATCCCAAGGTAATTTTGTAATGTACGACTTTGGAGAGAAAGAAAACTCTCTGAAGTACGGACAGCCAGAGCCACCAGCTTATGACTTGAGCAACATAGTTGCACCCGTAGCTTTGATTTATGGGGAAGGAGATTCCATTATTGCACCAGATGTACGTTTGTATACATATATTTAAAAACTCCATAATTTTTACCTTTACTGATAAATATGTAATTTACAATTATTCAGGACGTGATTGAATTGTCGAAACGACTACCGAACGTCGTGACGATAGAATCGGTACCTGATCCGAAGTTTGGCCATTTGGATTTTGTAGTAGCTCAAGACATAAAAAAACTGCTGAACAATCGCCTCCTGGAAATTATGGAAAATTCACTCAAGCAGTGAGGGGGTTACACAATAATATTGTTAAGAAGAAATCGATTTTTCTTAGCTTTGTATAAAAAAACTTTAAATCCAACAATAAATGTGTAAAGTTTTGTTAAAAATTCAGAAAGTTTACTCTTGCTTTGAATTTTTCTTAACCTTGATTTGTAGTTGTAACTTAACAACTTGTGAATCTACTATTAATTATAATTAGAATCACGAATCATTTTTTAAAATACATCATATTTTTCAAAATACATCATATTAAATTATTATAAAATTTATGTCGTATATTAATTAGAGTGAAACTTTTATTATGGGATTCAAAGTTAGTAATGTTATTATCAATTTTAATTTAGTTTTGTTACAAAATAAATTTAATTATTTGTAGCTTTCTGTTTTACAAATTACAAATTAAAATAAGATTATTACAAAAACATGCAGTACCTATTTTGAAGTATAAAAATCTCAAAAGTTTTAGGATCGGCATATGTACTCATAAAACGAGTATTATAAGAATGAAACAACATCCTCAATTACAAGTATTGATACAAATAATAAGCACATTTCTTTTTTACAATCAACTTAATTAATTTTTCTTGTGTCTCACACAAAATTGCGACATCACGAAATTTAATAACTGTTATATCCTCGCTTTGTAAGTACGAGTCGTCATTATTTTTAAGGATGTGTTGAATGCGAGTGTAATCGTGGAACTCCTGTACGATATATATA